ACTGTCAGAAAGTTTCTCCTTATTTCCAGGTTAAATCTCTCCTTGTTCACTTTCCATCCATTATGCCTTGTCTGGCCTACAGGCGCTTTAGAAAATAGCTTGACCCCTTCCTCCCTGTGGCAGCCCCTCAAATATTGGAAGACCGCTGTCATGTCTCCCCTGGTCCTTCTCTTTACTAGACTAGCCAAGCCTAGTTCCTGCAACCGTTCGTTGTATGTTAGCCTCCAGTCCCCTAATCATCCTGGTTGCTCTTCTCTGTACTTTCTCTAGAGTCTGTGGTGACCAAAAATGGATGCAGTACTCTAGGTGTGGTCTTACTAAGGCTTTATAAAGTAGTATTAGTACCTCCCTTGATGTTGACTGTATCCCTCTGTTAATACAATTTAGGATTGCATTAGCCTTTTTCGCTGCTGCTGCACACTGCTGGCTCATATTTAGCTGGTTGTCCACTAAGACTCCAAGATCCCTCTCACAGTTACTGCTATTGAGCCTGGTTTCACCCAGTCTATATGTGTACTTTTGGTTTTTCTTGCCTAAGTATAGGACTTTACTTTTCTCTATATTGAATTTCATTTTATTAGATATGGCCCAGTGTTCTAGTCTGTCAAAATCCATCTGGATCTTGAGCCTATCTTCTTGGGTGTTAGCTAGTCCTGCCAGCTTAGTATCATCTGCAAATTTGGTAAGTCCCCCTTCTATTCCCTCATCTAAGTCGTTAATGAAGATATTGAAGAGTACTGGGCCTAAGACGGAACCTTGTGGCACCCCACTGCTTACTTCCCTCCATGTAGACTTAGACCCATTAAGGACTACTCGTTGAGTACGGTTTGCCAGCCAGTTGCAAATCCATCTAGTGGTGGAGTTATCTATTCCACTTTTTTCTAGCTTACTAAGAAGTAGGTTGTGGTCTACTTTGTCAAATGCCTTGCTGAAATCTAAATATATTATGTCCACAGTATTTCTACTAATTTAGTCACTGTATTGAAGAATGAAATAAGATTGGTTTGGCATGATCTGTTTTTAACAAACCCGTGCTGACTGCTAGTTATTACTTTACTAGTTTCTAGATGTTGGCAGATCTTTTTTTTAATTATCTTTTCCAGTATCATCCCAGGTATTGATGTTAGGCTGATTGGTCTATAGTTTCCTGGGTCTGTTTTTTCCCCCTTTTTTGAAGATAGGAACCACATCAGCTCTTTTCCAGTCCTCTGGTAGTTCCCCGGTGCTCCAGGATTTTTGAAAGATATGGTGCAGTGGTTCTGAGATGACCTCTGCCAGCTCCTTTAAAACTCTGGGATGTAATCCATCAGGCCCTGGTGATTTGTTTTCATCAAGATCAGACAGGTGTTCTCATACTATTTTTTTGTTTATTTTAACTTTTATTTCTGGTCTGTCTTTTACAATTATGTTTTTGATGGGTTGAGCTATAGTTTCTTTTTGCGTGAAGACAGATGCAAAGAATGAGTTAAGCAGTTCTCTCTGTTGCCTGTTACTTCCTTGCCATCTTCTCTCTTTAGTGGACCAACTGTTTCCTTGATTTTTTTCTTTTTATTTATATGTTGGAAGAAACTTTTTTTTTTATTATCTTTGACTTTTGTTGCAAGTCTTTGTTCATTCTGAGCCTTTGCTATACTGACTTCGTCAATTATTATTCAAACCCTGAAAGACCCCATTGTCCACTTCATACTCTTCACAGCCCCTGCAGGCCTTGGATCTGCTTTCTCTCTCCCAATGGGGGGTGGGTGGGGGTGGGTATCAAAGGTTTTCAGCCGGGTTCTCACCCCAACATTTTTTGTTTTTTTCTTACTGACTGCATATGCTCCAGCAGCCATTTTATGGACATTGCACATTAATGATGTTTATATGATAGTCACTGTGCAGGTTGAGATTGAATGGAATTGTATGTCTAAAATATTGTAAGTGAGTGGTAAATTATAAATGCAATTATCTTGCATGAATATACAGCAGAAATTACTGTATGATGATCCTTGCTGGAACAACAGCTAAATGCTGAAATCCTGTTTCAATGAAACAAAGCATTTAAGACTAAGGAATGCTAAATCAACTGAATAAGAGCAAAGAAGAGTTAAAAGTCTTATTGTGCAGCTCATGGGGTAGTACTTGGCTTACACTAACTGACCTTGAAAAAAACTAAGCAGGCTCCAAAACTAAGCTGGGACAGACATTTCCAGGGAATGAGTTGCAGTGTAAACAATACCAGAGAGGTTGAAAAAAATCATCCTCAAAGAAGGCCAGAGGGTCATTTTTGTGTCATTGCTAAAAAGCCTACACAGAATTAATGTTATTACCAAGAGGATACATTTTACTTTTTAAATTTGTTTTTTAAAGTTTTAAACAAGGTTTGTATTTCAGAGAAAGACTGTAAGAAGTCTGTGAACATAATAGTACAGAGTGTCTTTACTCATAAAAGTACCCTTCATTCAAAGTTACTCAGTCGAAATCCAACTACTCTGACAAGTTTAGGGACTATTGTGTAATTCTATGAAGAATTTAAATCAGATAAGCTGAAAGATCATAATACTTTAAAAGACCAATACAAGTAGTTCTCAAGTTATGACAGATCATATAATCACTTGAAATTACGGGCTTGAAATTACTTAAAACCTGTCTTTCAAGTTATGACCATTGCACTACTCCTGCATTGCTTGATTCCATGCACATGGCAACTGGCTCACATCCAGGGGTGGGATTCTACCAGTTCAGACTGGTTTAGGTGAACTCTTTGTTCCGATGATCTGCTGGCTTCAAATTGGTTTGCTGAAACAAGCATGTGGGCTCGCCTGCCTGCCCCTGCTCTTTCCTGTGCTTTATTTCCTTTGTTTAGAGCACAGCTGATTCACGCAGCAGAGCGGTTTGCTGCTCCTCAGCTGTTTGAGTCACAGAGGCTGCAGTTGAAGGTAAGTATGGGCTTTTAAAAAAATGTGGAACACATGCATGGAGCAGTGTTTGGCGTGAATGAGCATGAAGTGTGTTTTCGCATGCAAAGGGCGTGATCACTGAACTAGTTGTTATACCGGTGGAATCCCACCCCTGCTCACATCTACAACTGGTTGTTGCATTCCATGGTTTTATGATTGCAATCTTCAAATGTTGCCATGTTTCAGTAAACACTTGAAAAAAAATTGTATGAACTACATTTGGACTTACAGTCATGTGAATGGCTAAATAACCATGCAAATCAATTAATTACTGCAGTGACTTGCTTAATGACTGTCATAAAAACTTGTGTTATATGATGATTTAACATTGCAACAACTTGTGACCAAAATTCCAGGCTTAATTGTGGTCATAGGTTGAAGAATACCTATAAACATTAAGCTAACATTTGAAAAGCAAAATATAAACCATTGATTTTTCTATTCTCTAATATAAGATCTCAGTGATCTTTTTATTGTCGTGTGGTTTCCAGAAAGACCTATTTGTATTAAAGATACTGATATAGTTACATAGGTTGCAGTAACAGAAGAATAGAATCCAGATCACTTAAAGTGTTAGTACCTCTTTACCTTGGTAAGACCAACTTGAATATTTCATCCAGTTTCAGTCACTGCAATATAAAAGAGATGTTGAGATTCTAGAAAAAGGGCAGAGAAGAGCAATGACTAAGAGGCTGGCAGCTCAAACATATGAAAAACGGTTGCAAGAATTGGGTACTTCTAGTCTATGGAAAAAAAGGACTAATGGGTGATATGATAGCAGTATTCTAATATTTGAGGGGCTGCCACAAAGGAGAAGGGTCAATCTATTTTCCAAAGTACCAGAAGGCAAGACAAGAAACAATGGGTAGAAACTAACTAAGGAAAGAAACAACCAAGAACTAAGGAAACACTTCTTTGAAGGGTCTCCTGCTTGAGCAGGTGATTGGACTAGAATGCTTCCAAGGTCCCTTCCATCGCTGTTATTTTGTTATCTGTATTAACAGCAGTTTTATTTCTTGTTATAGAACAGTTTGTATTATAAAGAAACTCTATGATTTTATAAGGTTCAAGGTAAACATCAACATCTGACTGGTATGTACATAGAATCTAAATGATGGGCAGCAAGTTAAATAAATAAATAAATAAGAGGAAAATGGGACATCACTTAAGCTAGCAGAATAGATGTGGTAGTACATACATAAAAAAGAAAGATCTCTGGTGGAATATAGCTAATCAGGAAAAGAAATAATTGATTTCAGATAGTATCCATGGTAGAATGAAAATTAAAGGGAGTCCAGGCAGTCCCAGGAGTCACAATTGATTGGAAGGCAAACCGTGTCCACCCCAATCTCTTTAAACTAGTATTGAACAAAATTATTCAAAAAACATAACTGTTGCCTTTTGAACATTGAGTTAGTCACAAATATCTGTGACTATAAAAACTAACAGCAAATTCCCATTGATAAAAGAGACAGTAAACTGTGTGTTGATTTAAACAATATATTAAGCTATTGGTGAGTGGTAGGATAGATGTCTTTTATAAAAAATAATAGCATAATTCTCCATGATTTTTTAAAAATTGATAAACAAGTAGAAATTGTTGGGGTGGGGGGTTCCAATTAACCAACATTTCTGAAAGTTTTATTATGAAAGAAAAATTTTCAATGAAGAAGGAAGTGGATTTCAGCTGGGAAAAATGAAGTTTTCTGAAATCAGCCTGTTTTTATTATGGTATAATAGAATAATATCATTATAGTATTATAGAGAACAGAATTCATGATTTTTAAAGAAAAAGAACATTAAAAAATAGTAAAGATATATTTCAGCTAATCAAATACACTTTCGTTAGAACTGTGTCCTGTTTTTTTTAAGTGAATTTCTGTTTGACACCCATGTACTGTTTCTGAGAGATAACAAGTCTCTGAGAGATAACAAGTCAGTTAGTTGTGTTTAGCTGAAGCAGATTAAAGTATGTAAGATTATCTCTAGGACACAGAAGTCAGGACTGATCTCTGAATAATGTTAGTTTTGTTACTAACTTGTCATATCTTCTGTATGTAGGAAAGACACTTTTGTGACCTACCTACATCAATTCAAGAGAAGTCCAACTCTATTTGTTCCAGGTATGTACTTCTGTCCATGTTCTATGTTTCTTCTTGGACTACTTGATTTTTTTTTTACTATTGCTTCACCTCATCCAGCTAATTGCTGACAGAGTGGAGGAATGGATGGAATATTGAAGAAGCCAAGAATAGACAATTATTTGTGGATTGATGGGTTTTACTTATTGTGCATGCTGCTGGCCGTTTAGGCCTATTTTTCTCACACATTTGAAGAATTTAATGAATAAAAATGTTCTCCATCTTTTAGAAGAATGATGGGTAACACTTAGGCAAGTTAAGTAAATTAAAAAAGAATTTTGTATGCCTACTTATAAAGGCTATCCAGAAAATATATAGAAACTATTCTTATCCATTTCACTCCATATGTAAATTGACAGGAAAGGTCAATTAAAAAGAAAAAGTTATTTTATAAATAAAAATATAAAGAGAGAAAAGGAGGAAAACACTTCTGAAAAGATGGAAAAGATATTCAAAGCTTAGAAGAATGTGGTAATTACAGTTATGCAATTTCACCATTAAAAGCAAATGATTGCATTTGCCTAAATTGTGTTTCTTGGGTTTTTTTTTAATGCTTGCCGTAGATCAAAAGCCAGATACTTCTTCATAGTTTTTTTTAATGTTCCTTTCTTTTCTCTTTTTTCATATAGAATTGGCAATGTTTGGAACAGTAGTGATTGGAATTGGAATTGCTGGATCTGTACGAATCAGAGATTTGCTAAATCCTTTGCCTTCCAGTCCTGCTGAGCATCTTAAATTATTGGGATTTGTTTCTAGGTGAGAGGAGCCTGTTTATTTAATTTAACAAGATGTATTGTAGTCAGACAAATGCATGTCTTGTCTTGACTATGGAGTCCCATGGTTTTTAGAATTCTATGGCTTTATTCTCATTTCCTAATTAAAATGTTAACATCCATTTCAGAATCAGAATATAATGGCAGAGTTGAGTGAGTTTCATGGAAAAACATAGAAATAGTTGTTAAGCAATGTGATTCATTTAATGCAAAGTAGTGCCTGAATTTTTAAATTCTTGCACTGTGTTCTATATATCACCTTTGAGAACATTTCTGCTAGAAGTCATGCATCCTGTTTTTTTCATACAAATATTTGTAATATATTTCCATTGAATGAAAACAATTGTATTTTTTAGTTATTAAGCTAATTTACTCCAAATATTGGAGGCTAATAGCATGCAAACTATTTCAAATTCACTACCTTATTTTAAATTTGGAAAAATTGCTCTGGCTTTCGGATAGGCCGTCTGAACCGTTCTACATTTTTTCAATGTTGTAACACCTTTTTATTAGGTCAAAACATTTTCAAAAATGTTGAAACAATCTATTTCAAATCCAGAGCAACTTTTTTTTCAAACTTGAAGCAACTGTTTTGAATTTTCAGTTGCCACTGTTTTGCTAAAGCAATCAAGCTGCCTTTCAATTTTAATACTAAACAAAAGTTACACTATATAGAATAAGATGATATTTTATCAAGTTTACTTGTGAAGTCCTCCCAGAAACAATTTCATAACCTGAGAGGTATATTGGTAGAAACCTTATTCTTTTTTAATATTTTAACCTCATACAGCGTGTGGATCAGAACAGGATCTTGAAATTGAAGTCAGTAGGCCAAAGAAGAGAGGCATTAATTGACCATATTATCAGTGTGCAAAGTTAACATGCAACAACCCAATGAAACCATACTTAAAAGACAACTTCAATTAGGGCCTTCTAGATCTGACCCTTAAGATGTTAATACTTCTTCTGCTGCTGTTTTATAATCTGGGAATTCTCAGGAAAGTTTTTCTCAAAAGTTGCTTTCTTTTTTCTGCTAAAATTAGAAGATCTCTAAATGAAGTTTATCAAGTCAAGCAAATTAGTCTGCAAGAAGCTCTAGACAATCCCGAGATCCATGCTGCCATCATCAGTACAGATAATCAAAACCACACTGAGAGCGTAAGGTATTGCCTTTTAAATTCTTAATATCAAATTGCCATTAGAATGTTCGTTGATTCGTTGCCATTCTAAACAGCAAAATAGCCAAGGGGGAGATAAAAATTCACTAAAAACCACAAAAATAAACAGGCCAAATTTTAAAGAGCAGCAAATTGCTGTTTATTTCCTTTTTTTTTTATCACTTTCCAGATAATCTGGGGATTTTATAGCTTTCAAATAATTACAGTCTATTAACACAGTTAAAATCCATTAAAAGGTTCAAAATAGACTTAAAATTAAAAAACACTTGGTGGGGTTGTTTTATTATTTGTGTATAGATGTATGTGTAGGTGCATGGGTGTTTTTAAAAATCTTATTTTCATTCTCTGCGAGGCATACAGATTTTTTTTATCTACTGGAAAAGAGAATAGAAGCCACTAACATTTTTTTGTATTATCAAACAGGTGATAATTTAAGTTGATAACTAGATATCCATCACTTACATTTTAGAACCAAATTCTGGAAAAAAAAAAGCTTTATATTCAGATACAAATCAAATATCACAATATTTAAATTGTACCTTTTCCCAGCTTTCAAAATTATGGAAGTAGAAAAGTGGCAGATTAAATATGCATGCATCTTATTGGGAATTGCCTTCATTATCTACAATATATATAGTATATAATATATACTACACATATTATAAAGTGAATATTGGCGTTTGTTGTCTAGTATCTATAGTTGTGGCTTTAAATATGTTTACTTAAAGCAGGAGTCCTCAAACTTTTTAAACGGGGCCAATTCACGACCCCTCAGACTATTGGGGGATTGGACCGGCTGGATGGGCATAGCTAAGTGGTCATTTGATTGGGTGGTCGATTGGTCTAAGTGGTCGTGTGAGTGGCATGGCCAATTTAGCAATCCATTTTGCCAATTTAGCAATCCATTAAACAATACGCATACGTTAAACTTTAATTTGCTTTGCTCCTGGGGGTGTTTATTTTCTTTTGTTTGCATATTGCTCATTTCTTTTTACTAGATCATTTTTTAAGTTGTTTAGGAGTCTAGTGATTCACTTCAGGAAACTCAGTTTTGCAGCAATTCTTCTCAGCCCCAAGGAACTTACTATCAACAAGTCTCTCTCTGTCTCTCTCTGTCTCTGTCTCTCTCTTTCTCTCTCTCTCTCTCCCGCTCTCCCTCCCCCTCTCCCTCACTTTCTGTCCCCTAGTGGGAGGAAGGAACCCCTGAACTGGTGCTGCATGGTGGGAATCTGACTTCTGGAGGCTGACAAGCCACATGCTGAAGACCAGCTGGCCAGCGGGGAGGCAGGGCAATCCCCTGGTCTTCCCAAAAATAACATGTCCCTTGTCATTGAAACTTGAAGACTCAAGGCAGCCCTTGCCTCTCATCATTTCAGGCCTGGAGCTGTAAGCTGCATCTGGAAAGCACTGTGATAGAGAGCAGCTGCCGGGGTGAAACCTAGCTTTGCTTACAGCTCTGAGCCCGAAGCAGTAGGAGGCGAGGGCTGCCTTGGCACTCTCCTCGCACTCTCCCCTCTCTACTAGCATCTGCCCCTTCTCCCTCTCCCTTCTTGCTGCCGGGCAATCCCATGTGAAGAAAGGGCAGCTGTTAGCAGAAAGGGGAGAGTGTGAGCTTGATGCTTCTGAATGTTGTGGCCTGCCAGCTGCCAGTGGAGCTGGTGGCAGACTCAGATGATGAAGAACTTGGGCCAGTTCTGGAGTCTGGGGAAGACGCTGATAGATGCTCAGCATCGGACATAAGAGATAGAGTCAAGGTCGTCCGGCATCTCCCAGCCACCAGAAAGGCATCTGCCTTTGGTGTCAGACATGAGTGAGGAGGAGGAACAGCTGGGGCCCATTCCAGATGCGTGTATATGCAGAGCAGATAGAAGAGGTGAACAACGGAGGACAATGAGTTGGCTCAGGAAGCAAAACAAATTACATTAAATGGCCCCTCCCTGGCTGGGGAATAAATAGGAGGAATGGGGAATGGTTTGGTTGTAACAGACAAGTGCTTGCATTCCTAGAAAGTTTACTCCTTGTGTGTTTCATGTGACAAAGACTGCCTTGCCAGAACTGAAGTTGTCTATTTCTCTTAGTTAATTTGCAGCCTTTCAGCTGGGAAATTACAGTCTTGCATTTATCATAACAAGCTGATAAGGACTATTGCTTCAGTTAACTCCTTGCAGGACTTTTGCCTGGACTTTCTCTTGGTGAATGCAGTTAATTTCCAAGGTGTAAATAAAGAGGGATTTTTCTTTGCAAGGAGTCTGTTTCTTGCTTCTGCGAAGGCTGGGTCAGAGCACCAGGACGAGGGAAGCCAGAAAGCGTCAGAGTCTCACCCAGTCTCTCTTCCTCTCAGTCACATGTGCTGCCACTGCCATTCCAGAGGGCTGCCTTGGGAGTGAGTGGGAATAAAGCCAGTCGGCAGGCCAAAGATTCACTTGCTTGCTTTGCTCTCCCATCTCTAATCTTACAAGTTTTGCTGCCCTTTCCCTTCCTGCGCAGCTCTCCTAATCTTTGAGACTGCAGCCAGGGTGGCGGTGGGGAGCCAGAGGAGCGTGCAAGAGATGGTGGCATTAGAGCCTTCCCTGGCTCTTCCCTGAAGCTGCCTTGGCCTAAGTGGATGATCCAATGTGAAGCTAGTGGGTGATCCCATGTGAAGAAGGGGGAGGCTGCTAGCAGAGAGGGGAGAGTGTAAAGTTGCTGCTTCTGGGATGAGGAAAGCCATGTGCTTCTGCTCACCTGCCCACCCTCTGGCCCAGGAGCAGGTGGCTGCGCCAGCAACATCACCACTCTGCCAGCAGGACTCCCCCAGCCCACCTGTGCTCTTCAGCCTTACCTTTGTGGCAGCAGTGGTGCGGTGAGCATTGAACTGTTGAAATGAACTGGGAAGTACAGGTGGACGGTGGAAGATAAGAGTGATGGCCGAAGGAGGGCGATGTGGGTGGTGCAGCCTTACAGTAGATGAGGCACCTGATCCCCAGGGCCCTTGTCAGCCAGGAAAAACCGGCCATGCAGGGAGTGGCTGGGAGGAGAGGGGCAAGGGGCAGGATGAAGGGCAGGGCTGAATCCCACTACTCTGCAGGCTGGATACATTGGATCGGCAGGCCATATGTGGTCTGCGGGCCATAGTTTGAGGACCCCAACTTAAAGGAAGGCCAAAGTGGATATGATATGATAATTTTCCAAGGCAGCTGATAATAATATATACACAGATAAGGGAAATATAAAATATAAAATTCTTTCTTTTTTATAAGGAAGTTCCTAGAGGCTGGCAAGCATGTCCTTGTTGAGTATCCTTTGGCACTGTCTGCAAAGATAGCTCATGAAGTTTGGGAGTTGGCAGAGCTGAAAGGTAATATGTAATACAGAATCCACATCTATTGTTTAAATATACACAAGTTATTATTATTTTTTCATCTCCTCTTCCCTCTCCCCTCAAAGTCAGAATTGTTTAAGATAGAACTTTAAATAGTATCTTAAGTAATCTTATCCATTTGGAACCTAAGCATCTATACCCTTAATGGATTCAATTTTATTCATATACTGAATAGGGATATTGTGTTACTGAATGAATTACAGGATTCTAATCAAACTTTTCATTTTGAAATTGAGGACTTTGTAATGTAGAGTATAGGAGAGCCAATTTGGTGTGGTGGTTAAGACATGAGGTTAGAAACTAGAGACTATGAATTGTAGTCTTGCCTTAGGCACAAAGCCAGCTGTTATTTTGGACCAGTCACTTTTTCACAACTCCAGGAAGGAAGCAATGGCAAATCACATCTGAAAAACCTTGCCTAGACAACTGCAGGGATTTGTTAACTCAATCTCTGAGAAATTGACATGATTGAATGGAAGAAAAAGAAATTGAGTATACATTCTAGGTCAGCACAATCATAATTCTACTTGGTTCTTTAGCAATAATTGAATAAAAATGAGAATGTTGCTCTCAACATAACATCTTGAAGCAGGACAACAGAATCCATAGCTAGTTCCTTCCTCTTTCCTAAAAGTTATTAGTCCCTTACGTAAAGAGTTATGGTTTTCACAAATGGGAGACAAAAAATTAAATATATACAATTTATTTCATACCTTGCTCAATACAGTCAATGTACTGACAACTCTTCTTTTGGGATGTTCTGCTGTTCTTAAATATTCTAACAATAACAAGTAACCTGTCCAAATATAAATTGGCTCAATGGCAGACAAGATCCTCCATGTGGAACACATTGAACTACTAACAGAGGAATACAAACAACTGAAGAAAGAGGTATCAGGAAAGGAGCTTGTGAAGGGAACATTACATTTCACAGGTTAGTTGTTAGAGATCCTTTGATTTCATATGTCTTTGATGAGTTACCCTGATTTGACAAATATTTGTATGTGTACGTTTGTGTCATGAATGGATTGAGTCATTTCATACTAGAGCTAGAAAAAGGGGTGGTTGGAAGATTTGAATAATGTTTATTGTGAACATAAGTAAAATTGCAGATCAGCCCTTTGAGGACAACTATATCCTTTGTCTGCTATGAAATAATAAATATTGACAAGGAGAACAACCAGGGATGGCATTGTACAAGTTCGGACAGGTTCGGGTGAACCCCTTGTTCTGATGATCACCTGGCTCTGAGCCTGCCTGCCCCTACTCTTTCCTGTGCTTGATTACTTTTGTTTCGACCACAGCTGATTCGTGCGGCAGAGCAGTTTGCCGCTCCTTAGCTGTTTGAGTCACAAAGGCTACAGTTGAAGGTAAGTATGGGCTTTTTTAAAATGTGGAGCATGTGCGCAGAATGCACAAAGCACGTGATCACCGAACCGGTTGTTATACAGTGGAATCCCACTCCTGAGAACAATTAAAAGCTTGATCTTCTGTATTCCTCAGTTATAGCTTAAAGTACTACAGTTCAGTCTGCCACTTGTATGTGTACCTCAGGTCTCATTCTTTCTAATCATTTCTAAGCTGTCTAAAGATGTTTTAAAATCTTCTCTTTTCCAGCTTTTAAGTTTTCTTTATTCCTATAGGGGGCCCATTGGATGAACGATATTCAGGATTCCCATCTTTCAGTGGCATTGCTCGCCTCACATGGTTGGTGGACCTTTTTGGAGATCTCACTGTCACTTCTGCCACAAGAGAACAACAGAAAGAAAACAATTATTTCAGAATGACAGTGCATTTTCAGACTGCAAACAAAAGGTTGGTTTTCTTAAGCACTAGAAATGTTCCTTAATCAAAATAATTTCATTCATGCTAATGGCAATACATCATTAGAGAAACAAAGTTAATTCATTCATTCATTCATTAATCCATACATTCATTCATTTGGCTTTATTAGCAGCCAAACTCTAATAGACTTTTAAATTAAGTCCAGAGAGGGCAGAGCTGATGTTGTGGCAACATGATGGATTCCTCCAGAGCTCCCAGGGGATCCATCAATATCCCGACTGCTGGTGGTCCAATCTGGACCTAAATTGTCTCAGAGGAACAATAATTGAGGAGGGAATATTCCGTTGATCCCAGGAACACCACAAAGTCCCTAGCTGATCTAGAGGAAGCCTTCCAAGCTGGCAGGAAAGGAAAGTGGCCACTGCAAGTCACTGTGAAGCTGGAACAGCTTCCAACAGGAAGAAGTACCAAAGAACTGCTGAGTGAGAACAACATTTTTTTTATACATTAAAGGAAGAGTCCCCTGGAAAGAAGAGGGTGAAGGGAAGAGCCAAAAATAGAGGTGGTGGTGGTTAATACACTCCTCTGGAAGAAAGCAGCGAGGAAAGCTTTTTCTGCTGCAAATTGGGAAAGGAAGTTACTAATCAAGAATTTGTGAATGAATGGCAACTTTGAAACTGGACTGGACTTGTTGAACTTATTGGACTAAATTAAGAAAGAGTGAGAAGTGGTATCTGGACTCCCTTTTTTCTGACTTTTTTATTCTCCTGTATTTAACTATAAATTTTGAAGAATTTAAAATAATAAGGGACTGCTACAGAAAGGAGAAAAGAGAAATAAGTACAACAGTGCCACCTAAATGCCAAAGTGAAAATAGAAGACAGAAGGGAGAAAGGGAATTACATGACCATGACAGTATGAGAAAAAAAAGAGAAAGTTACTTTATTTACAGACAGAGAGTGGAAGACTGAGAACTTTTGTTTTAAAACAGTGTAGCTCTTGGAAAATAAAAAGAAACAAACTAGCCAAAAGGAACAGAAGATCTAAACACTCCCTTTCTCTTGGACTGCTTTATTTTTTTTCCTTCCTTCCTTTCTTTTTTTTCTGAGTAACATCTGTAAGCTTGCACTGTGGAAATTATTATTGGGAAAAATAATTGATGGCTGGACTTAGAAAGCTGGTGGCCTAACATAAATTATAACTGGATATTTGGAATTTTTACTTTTTACTTTTATCTTTGTTTCTATTTTTTATATTACTATACTACTATACTACTTAGATTTTCATTTTTCTGATTTCCTTTACCACATTTCCTTTTTAAATTTTCCAAATTTTTTCTCATTTTATCTCTCTTCCTTTTTTTAATCATAACATTGTTTTACCTTAGTCCTTTTTGTATTTTTCCCTTTTTTCTAAAATTTGTTATAAACACGACTTGGATTAAGGTATAGAAAGTGGTTCCCAAACTTTTTCAGTCCACTGCCCCCTTGGTGTTCCAAACTCATCCTTGGTGCCCCCCTACCCAGAGGTGGGATTCAAATTTCTGTGGGCATGGCCTAATTTGAGGATGTGGCTTGCTGGTCATGCGACTGGGTGAGCGTGGCTTGCTAGTCACGTGACTGAGTGGGTGTGGCTTGCTGGTCACATCACTGGCTGGGTGTGGCTTGCTTGCTGAGTGTGGCTTGGTGTCACATGACCAGGTAGGCATTATTTGGTGATCGTGTGATTGGGTGGGCATGGCCAGGTGACTGGCAAACCAAATACAAGTGGCCCTCACTTAATAGCCAATTGTTTAGCAAGTGTTCTAATTTATGACTGGCCTCCCCAGAGCTATTTGACCTGTTTTTGGAGTTTTGACAGCCATGCACACACACACATACACTCCTTTCTGACCCTGCTGGAGCAGATAATTGGACTAGAATCAGCAAAGCATCTCTGATTAGATTCTAGTAATGACTAGAATCTAATCAGAGATGCTTTGCCAATTCTTGTTGATTTGTTTTATTTGTATTGCTTTATTTTATATTGCTGAATTGCATTGACATGTGTGTCCCTTCTTGTGCACAGCTCAGAAGCTTTTTTGATTCCTTGCAGCAAAATTACACAAAGAACTTTGGCTTTGCTCTACTTTTCAAACACGCCGCCACTGCCGCGTTCTAGTTGCCAGCACCGCAAGTCCACCCCATTCAGCCCGCTGCACAGGAGGGACCTGCCCAAGCAAGTCTGAGCAGAGTGGTGCACCAAGTCAATGGGGTGAGCCTGAGAGAGGGAAAGAGAGAGAGAGAAAAGAAAGAGAAAAGGGAAAGAAAGAAAAAGGGACAAAGAAAGGGGGGATGGAAGGAAGGGACAGAAAAAGAAATAAAGAAGGAGGGAGGGAGGGAGGAGAAAGATAATGAGATATCTATTCTAGTCCAATCACCTGCTCCAGCAAGGTTAGAAGGAAGTGTGTGTTTCTGTGTTCTTGTAATTTATCAGTACATTTTGGTTTTGCCTTCTTCAGAATTGGCACTGTAATACATTGAGGAAAAGTATTTTTTTAGGGTAGAGGTCTGTCCAATGGACCCTGTTTAAAGCCTCAACAAAATGTGAGAGCTTCCTGATAGTCTTGACCATGTTTCATCCACAAAACCTTTAATAGAAGCCAAAGAATGAGATCTTGATGTGGAGGGAGGGAGGGAGCGCTGGCCCCGCAGGCACATCAGGAAAGTAGAGCAAAGCCAGTCTGGGAGGGAGGGAGGTAGGGAAGGAGAGAGAGAGAGAGAGAGAGAGACCTGATGCATCAGATTGAAATGAGTTTAGAGGCCCTTTTCCACATTGAAACATCTTTGCTAGCATCTTTTCCAGCACATTGAAACATCTTTGGTTTCTATTAAGCAATATGGACTGACAGCAGGGAACAGAGGAGCGGACGGAGAGAGGCTGGGCCAGCCAGGGGCCCGTTTTACCAGGCCTTCAAACTACTGGGAATGGTAACCAGTTCTTGCAAACTGGTAGAATCCAACCCCTGAATTGTGCCCTGTGAAGGGCCCATCTCCAGCACCCCCACCACCTCTTAGTGCCTTGCTGCCAACCCTCTTGCCTCTTAGCGCCTCCCTAAGGCATCCTACCACCCCCACAGGTATAGAAGAACCTGAAGAAAAGAATCTGGACAGGGACTGATTCTCAACTGCAACCTTTCTTTAGATTATAATTGATTTTCATCTTATAACTCTACAAGGACTATAAAAAGACTTACAAAATTAAATATCTCAAAATGAAGAAAACAACATCTGTGCCATCCTCTGCCTCCTCTTCAACTGCTTCTAGTCCCTCTGGATAGAGAGCTCTGATGCCATGCTACAACAGGAAAAGGCAGTCTCATTGCAAGCAGAGATTAAAATGATTTTACAAGCTCTCCAAGAACAAATAGAAAGAGTGGAAGAGAAAGTAGAGAATGTGGAAGAAAAGGTTGAGACTGTCCAGCAATTGATGATGAAAAATGAAGAACGTTAGCAAAAAAAAAATAGAGGAGAGAACAGAAATAACAGAAAAAAGAGTAGGAGAGATTGATTATAGATTGACATTAACTGATCAGAGTAAAGAGAAAATAATAATTTCATTGGAAATGGATTGTGCTGACTATTATTTAAGATTTCAGAATATAGAGGAAGAAAAGGGAGAAAATCTAGCAAAGATAATGGCATACTTGTTGGCAGGGGCTTTGGAGATGACTAAAGAAAAAGCGATGACAGATATAGATGAAATATTTAGAGTTCAGATGAGATATGCACTGAGAAATAAGTTGCCAAGAGAGGTATATGTGAGATTCACAAAGAAAGCTATAAGAACAGAAATCCTACAGGAAGCAAGAGACGATTCATTGAAATACAAAGGGAAAGGAATAATAGTCTTGAAGCAAATCCCAAGAAGATTTAAGGAAGAAATATTAATTTGCGACAAAGTCTTAATCAAAAGAGGAGTTAATTTTAGATCACTGATACCAGAGGGAATAATGGTGACTTGGCAGGAACAAAGACACAGGCTAGACTCAATAGAAAAAAGTGGAGCAATTTTATGACCATTATTTCAGAGAGCAAGAGGGAGAGAGAATGATGGAGATTAGAGTCAAGAATAAGCTGCAGGAGAAAGGGATGGACAACAAAAAGGAGAGGAAAGAGAACAAGAATGACAAGAGAAGAACTAAAACCAAAGGAAGCAAGAGAATAACAGCAACAAGAGCAACAAAACCTTATTATAAATAAAGACACAGAAGAAGAATATCAATCAACATAAATGGACTGAATTTAGCAATAAAAAGAAAAAGGATTTTCAATAGAGAAATTGAAATTGGATATAATTGCTTACAAGAGGTACAGATCAAAAAACAACATAATAGAGTATTGCACTATTCTAAAAACAGGAAGCTATACACCTCCCTGTCACAACAAAGCAAAAGAGGAGTAGCATTATATATTAAAGATACAATAAAAACAAAAAAAATCTTTTTAGATGAAGACGGAAGGGTGCTAATGGTGGAAATAACGATGAACTGTAAACAGATATTACTAGTGGAAATATATCCACCAAGTGAGAATCAAGAAGACTTTTATGACAAACTTCATAAGAAAATAATGGAATTGGAGTATGAAAATATATGCATTTTAGGAGATTTCAACGCAATAGTAGATATGGAATTGGACTATAAAACACAAAAGGCAAATACCGTGTTTCTCCAACAATACGCCCCCTATAGGAAGACCCAGAATGTTTTTTAGGCATGAGATGAAATTAAGCCCTTCCCTCAAAATTTAGGCCTATTTTAAAACATCGAAATGGGAGGAAGGGCAGGGCGTGGACTTGCCATTAGGAGTGCCGCAGGCAGCTATGCCTCGCCACCAGCCGCTCCTAACGGCCGATCATGGCGGACCGCAGAGAGCTCCCTACCCCAGCCAAATGTCTTTGCTTCAGATCTGGGTATGGTGCTGGCTGCAGGCCAGGTCAGCGGGCGGGCAGCGGCAGCGTGGATGTCGGCCTCGGTGGCAGTGGGACAT